ATTCAAACTCAACCATACTGGTACTGGGAGTCGGTGTAAAAAATATATGAGATGTGTGCTACTGCTAACCAAAAGAAACAACAATAGAAGTAAAAAAAATTAAATATACCTTTGGCTTTAGCTGTACTTCTGAAATGGTAACTCCGAGTGGAGATGCTTATGAACAAGAAGACTTTCCTTGTTTTTCTTTTCTCCTTTCTTGGTGAAGTAGCTGGAGAAAGGTGAAGAGAGTTTCGAATGGATTGAAGAGGCAAAGAATTTGAAATTAGGCCACTTAAACTCAACACTGCTGATACTGGGAGTCGGTGCTAAAAAGTATCCAAAGTTACCTGCTGCACCGTAACATAACATAACCATTAAACATCCGAAAAGGCTGAACCCAAAAAGAATCGGCGTGAAATCATTGCTCATCTACTATTCTACTCCTTCGTTAGCTTTTGTAGTTTTCTCATTTTTGGTTACATAATTATAGAAGTACTCTATTGCCTATTTTCCAAAAAAAATTATAGAAGTGCCCTTAAAAACAAAAAATTAAGGTTGTGTGTTTATACAAATGAATTTTACAATATATATAAAATTCATTTTTAATTCAAGGTTCCTATATGTTTGGAATGATTAAGAACCTTTTATTTCAAATTCAATGATTTCAATTATATTTCCTTTGTGTTTAGTTTAGTTAAAATTTTGTGAAATTCATTTACAACTTTACGTTGTTTGTGTTTGGCTTGATTAAAAAATGTGAATTCTCCTAAATCATGAAATTGATTAAGATTAATTCAAACATCATCAATTTAATTTGATGGGACTTAGAAATGAATTCACACTTTTAAATTACTCAAGCTTTTAAATTACTAAAATATCCCTCACATTAAAACTCTATAGCTCTCCTTCACAAAATAATAAGGGTATTTTTTGAAAATTTTAATAAGGATTTTTTTTTGAAAAATTGAATATGAAATTAATTCTACATTCATTTCAAATATAATTTTTTTTCGAAACTCAATTGAATTCCGCAATTTCATGAATTATTCCAAATATAAGCGTTCATTTATAAATGAATTCGAAAATGAATTTTCTGAATATATTTTTAAAATGAAATGAATTTTATTTTTATTTAAACCAAAGACACTCAAAAAATTTAAAACTTCCAAATTCATTTGGAAATGAAATGAATTCTAATTCATTTGCATAACAAACACAACTTAAAAAGATAACAATATTTATGGCTTAAAATACTTCATGAGTTTTTTGAGTATAAATTAAACATGCATTAATTATATTTTTTTTTCAAAATTGATATTAAAAAAAATAAAAACTGACTTCAATTTCATTAACCACCAATTAAAATTGTGCACTGAAAATGAAGATAGATTTTGTATTTTTTTATGCATAAATAAAGACATAGTGCAATTAATTCACCCTTAATGTATGTCCTAAAAGTACAAATTAGATAAATTCACACTTCATTTACTCCTAATCATTCTACTCCCTCTCTCTTGATTTAATTAACTTTTAAGAAAGCGTGTTTGTTGCATTTCAGTAAATAATTAATGGATCATAAATTTTTTTTCCCCAAATTTACCCACACCAACCCATTAATTGAAGGCTCTATTTTTGAATTAATGTTGATAATATAAAAGGGGAAATTTTGTAGCTTTAATTTGAGGTCATTAATTAGATTTCTTAACATGTGTGAAACTACATAAAACGTTAATTAAATTGAACAAAGGGAGCAGTTCTTTAGGTGGATTGAAAATAATTGTTTTGATCCTTATTAACAAGGGGAATATAATTTCGTGGCAAATCTTGAGAAGAAGCAAATCAATATTGAATATTCACAAAAAGAATGCAGCTCAGAGATGTGCAACCATATATAAGAA